ACACTATTCCTCCAGCAGTTACTCTGCCTCTTTAGACATTCACCAAGCAAACGGCAGCACCCGTCCCCTCCCTATCAGCCCAAGTTTGGCCCTGAGAGTAGGCACGTCACAGTGCATTGCCATTGGCAGACTTGAAATGATTCCGACACGCCTGGGTCACACTCTGTTACTGCCTCTATTTCAACCCCGGTTCTGTGTAGCAGGACTGAGACAGCCTCATATTTGATATTAATGGCCTTCACAACTTCCTTTCTCTGTTTGTCTTTTTAAAAGGAGAATTATTTTTTAGTTTCATTAAGCAAGAGAATTCTGGGGCAGGGCAGTTGCACAAGAGCCAAAATGCATCACTTGAATTAGCTGTAGACAAGTTAGGTTTAGCAAGGTTGGTTTAGGGCATACTGGGTTAGATTTTCACTTCTCTGCTAACCAGCTATATGATTCTGGAAGCAGATACTATTTCCTGAAAACAGAAAAATTCCTATTTTCCAGGTGAGAAGTTAAGTCACAGATAGGGTAAGAGCCTTGCTCAAACCTACATAGAGAAAAATTAGCAAAATGAATATTGACTCTGAATCTTTGTGACATCAAAAACTGTGCATTCACTTCAGCAAATTAATTTTCTCAGGCTAGATAGTCTTATCTGCAGAGTGAAAAAAATATTACCTCTTCTGGTGGTATAATAATAGCAAGAGGTAGCATGTATAAAGGATGGGACATACAACAGATCCACACATTTTTCTATTTAGTATTGTTTTACATCCATAAGAATCCCTGTCTTATTCGAATTCTCTTCATAAAGCTAGTCGGTATTTCTAGTTTCCCCCAATCGCTTTTATTGCGACAAAATGCACATAACGCATTGGATCGTCTTTGCCATTTTGAGTGTGTGATTCAGTGATATCAAGTACGCTCACATTGTTGTGCCACCGTCACCACCATCCATCTCCAGATTTATTCTCATCCCTCCAAATGGTACCTCTGTATTCACCAAATGGTAACTCCTCATTCCCCTTCTGTTGTCCCTTCCATTCTACTTTCTGCCTCTGCGATACTGACTAAATATTTCTATAAGTAAAGCCAAATAAGAGTTTCACACGTAACAAAGGATCCTAGGAGACAGGGACAAGTGTCAGGAAAATGGGAGTTAACGTGCCTGCCCTTTCACAGAAAGTGTTCTTGTGCCCTGTGGGTTGATGGCGTGTCTCCTCCAAGCTAGTGAAAGAAATGCTCTCAGGCAGGTTTCAATCCTCCAAGGCCCCTTTGATCAGTTGAGCACCTCAGAAGACATGGCTGAACTGGATTTGCTTTATCTATTAGACAGCACTGTCATCAGGCCTCATGCTCCCTCCCCAGGGGTGAATTTTGCCTTCATGGACTTGGTTCTCAGCAGCCCAGATGTGTTGGTGTCAGACTGAGCTCAGCTCTCACACATATAGAATGCTCTTCAGCCAGGCTGCTGGCTCAGGAAAATGAACACTGTGAGACCATTTACCTGATCACATTTAGGCCTAGGGGAAGTCTGTTTTTGAACCACCGTGAACATTAAAGTAAATTCATATATACTTGGCAAAGGACTAAATGTTTGTGTCCCCCACAAAATTCATATGTTGAAATCCTAGCTCCCAAGGGGACGGTATTAGAAGATGGGGTCTTAGGGATTTGGCCATAAAGGTAAGTCCCTCTTGAATGTGTTTAGCGGGTCTCAGGGATTGGGTCACAAGACTAGAGCCCTCTTGAATGGAATCAGTGATCTCCTTATTTTTCAATCATGTGAGATTGCAGCAGCAGGTGGTTTTCTGCAACTCTAAAGAAGACCCTCCCCAGAGCCTTACCATGCTGGAGCCCTAAACTCTAACTTTCAGCTTCCAAAAATGTGAGAAATAGATTTTGTTGTCTATAAGCCACCCAGTTTATGGTATTTTGTTATAGCAGCCTGAATGAATTTAGCTATCCTTTATAAATTTGCATATTTAAAATAGCATACATTTATCTCCACATATTTTGTAACTGTGTGAACTAAGAGATGTCTTTTTCTTCTTCTTTATTTCATAGGCCTAAACCAAATACAGAGATGAAAAAGAGGATTCAGCCGGGCTCGGTGGCTCAGCCTGTCATCCCGCGCCTTTGGGAGGCTGAGGTGAGTGGATTGCCTGAGCCCGCGGGTTCGAGACCCGCCTGGGCAGCGAGACCTCATCTCTAGAATAAATCAAAAAATCAGCTGGACTTGGTATCACGTGCCTGTAATTCCGGCTACTCGGAAGGCTGAGGCGGAAGGATCGCCAGAGCCCAGCAGGTCGAGGCTGCGGTGGCCGGGAGCGGCCGCTGCACTCCAGTCTGGGAGACAGAGTGAGACTCCAACTCAAAAAAAAAAAAAAAAAAGAAAGAAAGAAAAAGAGGATTCAAATGAAGTCCTTCTCCAACTTTTCATTTTGCTCTCTGATTATGTAATGTGACTAGAAGCAAGCTCATGACAAAGAAGAGAGGGAAACTAACATTTTCACTGAATATATAAGGATTGTTTGAAAAATTTGTTGAGTGATGAGAAATTGAGCCTCACAAATGAGAGGAGAAGGTGCTTATTCACTTACTGTCCCTTAGCTACCAATTAGTAGAGTTAGAATTTGAAGCCATGATGGTCTGACCAAAAGCCTGTAAGGTCAATTTCTTTGATATCACAAATTACTGCAACATTTCTTTGAAGATAATGGATTTGTTTCATTATTTAGAATCATGTCCTCTCTTTCAGGGGAAGCATCTCAAAGGCTCTTTGCAAATGATTAATTAACGCCCACAACCCTGATTTACACCAGAGTCAGGACTAGAATTCAAGACCTATTTCTAGCCCAATTGGCTAAAAATAGCTATTGAGCCTTTGTGCTCAACATAGCATGACTGCCGTTTCTAAGCCTCACTTTGCTTATTTCTGTGTGATATGTGTCATTTGTTTTCTATAAATTAGAACATGGTAAATAAATAAGTAATGGCACATCACATTATAGAGGACTCCCTGATCATCCGCTCTGCTAAGGGGTTTGCATGTATTCCTTCACTTATTTCTCAGGATCTATGAAGTTGTTTTTATGTTTTCTTTTGTTTCTCAACATTCATCTACAAAAACTAAGGGTTAAATTGATTTGTTTCAAATTGCATAATTAGAAAATGAGACTTTGTGTTATCTGAGCCCTCGTTTGCCTGGCTCCAATGTCCATGCACGTCTACCATATTGTATGTCTTTGAACTTGTTCAATGTTGCCCCCTAGACTCTCCACCCCTTCAGTTGACTTCAAATCATATTTTCTTTCCACTTCCTCATTAAATAGCTCTAAAAAGGGTCACCAGTTCCCTAACCTTGCTAAAACCTAAGGCTTCTGTCTATTCTCATCTGACTTAGTTTCTCGGTAGCATTAAATGACTCTCCACTTTCTCCCAGTGAAACACTTTGTAGTCAGGACCCAACTTACTCACCTGGTTTCCTCATTCCTCATGGACACTTCTAAGTCTCCTTGTGTGGTTTCTTCTCCTATAATAGACTATTATTCCCAGTTTGATTTTTCTGGTTATACTCATGTCCTAGATGATCTCAACCTGTGGTGTGTGTGTGTGTGTGTGTGTGTATGTGTGTGTGTGTGTGTATACCTATCCACACATATACACAGACATGTGCATATATCTCCTATGTGTGTCTCCAGACCTCACTGCTGAACTGCAGACATATACTCAGCCACTGACCTGACATCTACACTTAAAGCCTCGCTGGAACTTCAAACTTCACAAAATCCCAAACTAACCTCATTATCTACCCTTCTCAAGTCACAATTACCAAGCCCCAAAACAAAACAAAAGCTCTGCTCCCATCGACTCAGTGGCATGGGCCTCAAATCCAGGCTTTTTGGACTGTTTTCTTCTCCTCACTTCCTCTTCTCAATCCATCAGCAAGTCCTGTTGGTTCTGTCTGAACCAGTTACTGCTAAAATGTCTGTTGCTTCAGCCCTAGTTCAAGCCACCACCACCCTTCCTCAGGTTTTTGAACTGGTCCTTATCTGTCCTCTCCTTCTCCCCTCCTGTTGTCCTATGTTCAATTCACCATTGACAAGTCAGATATTTTAAAGGGTAAATCTCATAGTGTCACTGTCTTGTTTAAAACACCGTTGTTTTTTAAAAATTTCTGTAAGTTTGCTGACTACCCCATATAGAAGTCTTAATAAGCACCACATGAAGCAGGTTGTATTTCACATCAATGTATGTTTTGTCTCTCAAACATACAGAGTCCAACTGGAGTTAAGAGCCTCTGTAAGAAAAAGATGTAGGAAAGGAGAGAGAAGAAATGTGGTTTCTAGCCGGGCTCAGTGGCTTAGCCTGTCATCCTGCACCTTGGGAAGCTGAGATGAGTGGATTGCCTGAACCCGCAGGTTTGAGACCCACCTGGGCAACTTGGTGAGACCTCATCTCTACAATAAATCAAAAAATTAGCCGGTCGTGGTAGCGCGCACCTGTGATTCCGGCTACTTGGAAGGCTGAGGTGGAAGGATCGCTGGAGCCCAGCAGGTCGAGGCTGTGGTGGCCGGGAGCAGCCACTGCACTCCAGTCTGGGCGACAGAGTGAGACTCCGACTCAAAAAAAAAAAAAGAAAGAAAGAAATGTGGCTTCTGTGAATGGGCGCTGATGCAGGCATAGAAGCATCTAAAGTTTCATGTGGGTATCTGAAACCAGGATTGCTCCAGAAGACTGAAGCTGACTTTTGACCAAATCAATGAGACTGCTTTTGTACACATCTGAGCCAGACATGCAGTCCAGAATAACTCAGCTGAGCAACGAGAGCGCCCAGAACAGCACTTTTAGCCATGTAGAAATCAATAAATCTAGGCAGTGGGAGTTTCATGTTTCTCCAGCAACCCCACAGGTCATGTTGTCTGGGAGTTAATGGTCTAAGGAACGAGAATGGGAGCTAAGGGATTAATGGTTTGACTCTTCATTAACTCAAGAAAACACATCAAGGCACATTTGTCTTTCACACAAAATCATACAAAATTTTCTCTTTATTAAATATACATTATTTACAGTTTAAGTCTTTCTTCTGTACAACAATAACCATAGAAAACAAAGAAATCTAAGGCTAACTTTTATTTTTCCCATACAGTGTATTAAGACATGTTACATGGTCTACAAAACTGACTTGGAATGAGGCAACATCACTTGGGATTTTGTTTGGGGAACAAAAATCAAAGATCAAAAAGAAAAAATTAGACTCCAGCAGATCCACAAAGGAGATGACCTGTTTTGTGCTTTTATCATAATAAAGAGTTTGACATATGTATATTTTGGGGGGAAAGTCATTTGGCATTTTATTCTTTACCTTTTAAAAGTAGTCTTCCTGCTCTTTCTCCTTTCTCACAAAGGAGGGCCTGAACATGCCATAGGAGGACTAATTTTTCATCTGAAATGGGCAGTGTAAGTAATGTTCTATTTTGGGGATTGACCAAATAGAGCCCATGTATCAAATCTGTTTTTACAAATAAACTGTTATTGGAACATGGAAATGTGTATTCATTTATATGTGACTGCCTTCCTACCACAGGTTGATAGTGCCATTCAAAGAAAAGTGACTGTGTGGATATTTCATGGAAAATCTTTGGGATAGGGGTTGATTTCATTGTGAAAGTATGACCAAGAAATTTACCATTAAGTTTCCCTTTGAGTTGATTCAAAGAGTCTGCAGGGTAATGCAATGTTTCTGTTGCAGATCTAATGCCTTTTTAATGCTCTTGGAGGATATTTCTGGTATCAGAAGCATGTAAGGCTGTGAAAATGAGATCAAACTTTAATCACTAACACAACTACCTTCACCTTTGTTCCTGGCCTCAGACGATGCTCCTAATTTTGCCCTGCTGTTTTATAAAGGGTTTCTATGTGTCACCATGGAGGATTGAGAGAGTGTTCCTAGATAGCGTTAGATGGCAAGTCCCTTGCAGCATACACTGTCTAGGCTAGATAGTATCAGATCTTCTTGCTAAGGCCTATGGATGTTAGGCCAGTGAAGAGGAAAGATGGCTGATTGATTCCAGTATCTCAGGAACTCGTCACATAGGGGTTATGATTACAGATAGTGAACCTATGGAGTTTTCTAACAATTTCTTTTCTTTTTTCTTTTAAAACTGCATCTGGGTGCTTAACCTGCGCAGGTTAGATGTTTGTAGAGATAGCTCTAAAGCACTCTGGGAAAATATTTATGAAGTAAAAAAAAAAAAAATTAAAAAAAAAAAGTAATTGGATTAGAGCTAGGAAGGGTCAAAAATATCATACAAAGGTGAGTAAAGAATCATCCATGCAAAGCCCATGATATTGCCTCTTTCCCTAATGTGTAAGACAATGATCCAAATGCACTAAAGTGACTCCTGAGTCAGGAGCCAGAAAAGTGGGAAGACCACTGCCACTGACTCGTGGCGGAAGCAATGACCTCCCTCACCACAGACGTCTAGCAATTGCTGCTACAATCCCTCTTTCTCCTTGACATGTGCCCAGCAGGTGTGGTGGAAACACCAAAACAGACTTTTGCGTTCATACTTCTTCATGTCTGCTCAGCCACTTTGTAGACTATAAATGTTACAAAAGACAGACAACTAGCTTACAAAGTACAATATTTCACTAGAAAATGTGCTTTTCTGTCCTTCCTCAGAGTACCTTAGTGCAAAAAAAGAGAAAAGAATCACTCAAAAGTAGCAAACCAGTTAACTATTAAAACTTTATATGAAAGATTCAAATAATTGTCAATACAAGAAAGAAATGCTTCTCTCCCTACCAAACACTTGTGTATGTAGAATTTTCTAGAGAAAGGTTGAATAACAGCCCTATTTTTACAAAATGTGCATGTGTGTGCGTGTGAGTTGCACTTTTTCCCCTTTAGGTGGTTCAACTTTTTGGAATTTGTGAACACAGAGCTGAGAACTAGGGACAAGCAAAATCTGCAAACTAGATGACTCAACAAGGAAGAGAGTTGAGGGGATGGGAGTAGAGGTCAAGAAAGGCTCACAAACAGTATGTGGAAGTAATTCAGTTACACTGTGTGTCTTTTAAAGAAAACATGTTCAAACTGCATGAGAGACATGAAATAGCACTCAGTTATCCTTCTACTATGCTGAATGCTTTGAATTTTCCTGAACCTTCCTCCACTAAACACCTTTGTCATCTGCAGGAACAACAAAGCCAATTTATCTATTTAGCCCACACATGACTTGTAGGACCATGGAGGACTAAGTGTGTCCAAGTCTTTAGGTGAAGGAAGAATGAGGGACAGAACTTACAGATATCCTAAAAGCCTTTTGGCAGGCTGGTGTTGCAATGAGGTTTTTGATGAATTGTAGCTATGCGGGTATTCCGAGAAAACCAAGGCAATTGGTGAGCAAACTGTCAAGACTTTTTATAAGAAAAAATTCAACAAGCCTGATCCCTATCCCTGAATATCTTGAAGAAGATGACTCTGCTTGCTACTTCCCAGCAGACCTTCTTGAATTAAATTAAATCCAACAGAGGGGGAAGGTATAATTTCACCCAGGCATTAGAGGCAAGACCTTACAGAGATGGAAAATACTTTTAGGTCATTTATTGACTCCAGGATAGATGTCATCTAGTTCTCAGAGATTTTCCTGAACCAGAATGGTTCATTAGTACAAAGGTGGGCTTTAGGAAGAACTGTAGTCAAGAAAACCACCTTAAGGAATGTTTGAAAGACCAACGGCATGCAAAAGTTCATAAACAGATGACAGTGACAGAACTGAAAAAGAGAAAGAGAGGCGGTAAAGTGGAAATTGTTTCCTGCTACAAATAGGATCCAAAGTCTTCCCTTAGGTCTGGATCATGGAAAGGAAGAGCTCCCAACCAGAACCAAAACAAAAATGTAAAGATTCAGCCTCCCCCAAAATACGGCAGAAATAGGAACTATGTATTCTTTCTGTCCCTAGAGTCAAGCCATTTCCTTCTGCAGAAATTTAGCTGCACACATGGATATTTGCTTGGAGGAGGAGAAAGAAAACAGCTTATTGAAGAAGGAAGAAACAAATGAGAAACACAATGATAAGTACCTCCTTGAAATTTATCTGTTTCTTTCCGTCTCTAGCAAATGTTTTACAAGAATAACTGTGCAGGACCTCAACACTACACTCTAGAGCACTTTATGCATAGCCCTGTCCCAATATATGCTTCGTCTGAAGACTTTGAGTGCCCCAAGACTAAGAATGATGGGTAATTTATATTTATACACGCGATGCCTAGCACACTTTGAGTACTGGGCATTCAGTAAATACTTCATGAATGAATAAAGAAAGAAGAAAATAACTCCCTTTTGTGTTGCTGTTCTGGTCCTGCTCTTGCTACAATGTAGTGGGCAAGGGTCTGACAAAAGGCATAAGTCAGGTTAGTACCATCTCTGCTATTCCAAAAGAGAACAAACATTGTTTTTAAAAAATCAGTCCCAGATCCTTAAAATAAATCTTTCGTTGTGCAGTTAAGAGTGAATAGATATGTACCGAACCCTCATTTGTGCCCCACATTTTAAAAATAAAATTTTAAAAAAGAGTGAATGGAAGAGGCTAAACTATTCATAAAAGAATATCTAGAGAAATGACAAATGTCTATTTCTCTACACAAATTCTCATAGAAACCGTGGCAATTGGGTCTATACATACAATAAAGGTTGCAGTGGGTGTTAAATACATTTTGGGGCGGGTAAATATACCGTTGCTTACATAAGTAGATGTGTTTGGTGAAAATAATGTCAATGAAACAGCTCCCTTAGAATTACGTAACTGCACAGATATTTTTGGTTTTACTGTAAAGTAAGCATATTCCATAAACTCTTTTTCTGTAAACAGCAGCTACCAAAGACTGAGGGTTAAAGCGGAGAAGATGAGGGTGGTCCAGTTGGCCAGAGCATGCAGTTGGAAAACCTAAACGTGGATGTGAAAAAAGAGGGTTAAAGGGATACTAGAAGGCTTTCAAAGACGGGTTTTGAGACTCTAATTTCTCCAGGATTGTAACACACAATTAAACAATTGCATAAAATGATGTGGATCTTGGTGCCGCTGAGGAAAGAAGGCAGAGTTAGCACTTATTTCTACCTGTGAATTGTATCTGCTTTGGAGGATGCAGCTTGCTTGCATTTTATATACATCTAGAAAGAGTGTTCTCTGGGGTTATTACATAATCCAACCCTGTAAAAATAATTCTCATTTAGCCCTGAGAATCTACTTATAAGAGTGATGTGCAGAGTGCACCATCTTGGCATTCATATTTGGGTGCATGGTACATAGTGTATGCGTATAACTAGTCTACCCACGTGGACAGGACGCCAGTGGATTTTGTAGTACGGTCAGGTAAGGATGGAGTGTCACAAATTCCTCACCCTACGGGATGATCTACAAGCATATATAAGTAGATGAGAAAAATCAAATGCTCTGAGTTAGCCTTTGCTAGTCCTCCATTTCTTCGATCAGCACTGTGTCAGCAAAAATACAGTCCTCGCTTCTCAAAGACCTGAATAATGAAGAGTCTCAGCTTTATTGTTCACACCTCCCTTTTCCTTTCCATTTCATTACTGGAGATGCTTAGGGTTAAATCCACTGCTCTTCATGGTGACTTTTATTTCATTGGACAAAGCAATATGTAGCCCGGCAATAGGCTGATTTATACAGTCTTTTTATGGAAATAGAAAATTCAGAAGTGAAAATTGAAGAAAGGGGAGGAAAGGGCAGGAGAAAACAGTTTTTAAAGATATTTCATCCTATTAAAGAATCATTCATCTTATTAAAGCTGGAAGGAAAAGCAAGTATTTGTGTTAGAATCACTTTATATTTACTAGCAGAAGCATATAATGGGAAATGATGAAGTAATCAACTAGAAGTTCACAGATAATTTTAAGGAGATATGTGTATTTAGAACAACAACTTAAAGTTGAGAAATATAATTGCAAACTAAATCCTTACCCCTCAAGCTCTGAAACAGAAAGAGCCAAGGACTTGGAATGGAATGCAGGTAGTAAGTCCCTCACTGCGAGCTTTTTCCTACAGGGCAGTGTCAAATAACCAGAGGCAAGAGACACACCAAGAACAAGATGGAGTGAATGTCTGCCACCTGTCAAGGCAGGAGAAAAGACACGTGGTCACTGTTTGCCAAATAGAGTCTGTCTTGTAAAGAGAATCAGCAAATATTTCCACATCCGCGGATCATTATATTGGCATTTCTGGCATCCTGGAGCATTTTTTATTGTTTTCCTCTTACTTTTTTTCCACAAGGTGGCTCAGAGGCAAAGAGTTAGGCATACTGCTACAGCAAAATCATTGCGATTCTTATCCCCACCTCACAGATGCCTTCCTGAAGGATGACTGTGTGTCTTTGATGCTTTGTTACCAAAAGGGGTCAAGAACCTGAAATTTGTCACCACCTCTTTTAAGAGTTTAAAGCCGTAAAAAAGAGTGTGTGGGTGGGTCTTTGGACACATAATGTAGAGCAAATTTTAAAATGTGATGTGTGGCAGAACCTAAGTGCTCCTCTAAACCAAGCAGTGTGAGTCAGCTGGAGGTGAGTGGGATGGCCCAGACTTCAGTGTCTCCTGTGCCTCTTAGAAAGTAGCACAATGGACAGAAGTAGATTCGAGATGTCTGTTTGAAAACCGGAAACCTGCAAACCTGAATTTACTTGCTTTGCTAGATCTCTAGTGAGCGGATGGAAGAGAAGAATTCTGTTTGATATTTCTCATCTTTCATGCAGTTTTTTTCTTTTTGTTTCCCATTTTTGTTTCTGTTTCTGTCTTAAAGCTGGGTTAAGATGGTATACGCTCTTTCATTGAACCAGGTACTATTTTAGACTTTTACTGAATTTTTTTTATGCTGCAGCAACTTACATATATGTATATATTTATATCTTTATTTCAGTATAATAATCCCAGGAACCTAGCTAGCATTTCTTACAAAATAGGAGGAGACATTTTTGAAGTTATAAAACATCTACTTCCTAGCAGCTGTCTTTGTACCTCCTGGTTTCAAGCTACTATACCCATGCTTCCCCTAGGTTTATGCTATTGTGTGCTGTCACAGAGTGTCGGCCCCAGGAGAGAGTGGTAAGAAAGGAGAAAAGTGATTTTGCTCACTACTGTCAGCAATCATATATTTGAAAATGCTCAGGGGATAAGACTCACAGGGGGAAAGGGTGATGAGTCAGGACAAGGGGACTGCCATGATACAGAAATTAAACAAACACAAAGCAAACCTCTCTTATTCCCTTTACATGCCACTGGAGGAAACTGGGCTGTAGGTTATTCTCTCTCTGCCCTGGGTCCCCTGGCAGGAATAGACTTCAGGTGGGGAAGGATGTCAGGAACGAATACCTAAGTCACAGAGTTCAGGCTGAAAGCAAGACCGCAACACCGAACGGCTGCAAACACCGAACAGTGCATGTGTGAAACTGGAAATACAGAACTGAGCATGCAGGAGTGCACACGTGTCTCTTCCTTGTCTCGAATAGTGAAGACAGCCTCTCGAGTGGTCGTTTTGACCACACCAGGTTGGACAGAGAGAAAGGCAGTGGCCACAGCTGCCTGGTCTCCTGGGCTGGGTCAAGGGGATCGATGCTGGGGTGGACGCAAGTATGTCCCAAAAATTAGATGGCAAGCAAACAAGGAAAAGTCAATGACTAAAATTAAAAGACAGGAGAAAGAGGAAGGAAAAGAACTCAACAAGAAAAAAGAGTATGAGAGACCCTGAAGTTTTCAGATGAAATATTCCCGTTTACACTCGCTCACTGTGTTTTGTAAGTCAATATCATTTCTGAAGGAACTGTCCATATTGTCTGGGTATTCCTTCTCCTTCATCTGGTTCGTACGGTGTGACTGCTTGTGCTGGTAGAGAAACCGGGTCATGATGCCAATGATACAAAAGATGATGAATATTACCACAGCGATTACCCCTGTAGAGAAAGGAGAGGGACAGAGAAAAGAACATGGTCACAAATCATTTGTTCAAAAGAGCAGATTCACGCTAGACAAGAGAGGCACTTAGGAGGAAAACAAAACAAGCACACAAACAAAACTCTGCCACAGGCTCAGAAATAAAGAAGTGCTGAAATTCCTTAGTCTTGAATTACAATAAATTGTAATTCTCTTTCAAATTGGCTGGGGAGAAAGGCAGTTTAAATAAGAGAAGGTTTTGTTTAATGGACCCAAAATGCGTATGAGTGTGGAATTGGACCAGCAAGAAATTTCTTTGTAAATTTTTCAGGATCTGCTATGAATCATTGGCAATTAGCACACCGCTCACAACTAAGTATTACTGAATTATTTAAGCATCCTAGAAAACAGTACTTAAATAGCTCACATCCCAATACATGCTCTCCTGATATAAATTTGTTTTAGGTTATACACCAGTTTTTGCTAAACAATTAATAAAATTATTACCAAAAATGTAGGCCATTTCTATATTGCTCTGCACTCTGGTAGACCAACACTAGTTCAGTGATGGGACACTTTCCTCCTCAAGAAACTCAGAGTCAGCTGAGATGGCAAATTTCTGCCCAGTCTTGTCAGATTTCCTCTTACTTTCATTGTATGTAATTTAATTGGATTTCCTTTGCAAGTTGTCCTTGCTGACTCTAAGGTTTCACCCCTACCTTTGCCAGGGAGGCTCTTGGAACACGAAAGGCAAAAGGCAGTATCAGCAAAGGAGGATGAACATGTGGAAGGGAGAGATGTATCTCTATGCGCCTGTAGATTTTTAAGCATTAAAATAGTTATGACCATCAACTATCATTTTATTTGTAATAAGCTACATGTCCTGTGTTTTTCTCTCTAAGGAGACAGCTATTGAGAAAAATGTCTATTTTTAAAAGTTATTTTTGGTTACCTTCTATTATGATTAGCAGAAGCATGGATATGTGAAAGTTACATATAAAGGGAGGCTCCAAACACCTGGAATTATTTTCTGGAGGATGGGCCCCTCGTAGCACAGGCTTCTCCCACTAGGTAAGTGTTCTAGAAACCCCAAGTTATCAGTGTACCAGCTAGTGTTGTTGCGAGAGGCTGCATTCGACTTCAGTCAAATTTGTTTTTAGATTGTTTCAAAACATTGTGCATTTTATGATGGGCGATTTACGAATGCACCTGCCCACACCATGCTGACTGTTCAGCAGTTTTTGACCAGAAGCAGCATGGTCCCCATCCCCCATCAGCGGAAAAGGCATTTCAGTCGGTGTATTCCATCACATGTAGAGTAGTTTGAAAGTGACGGCAGCTTAAACATGTAAGAATAAAAAATAAAAATAAATAAGCGTGTAAGAATAAATACACAATTTTTTATAAACACTGCTTTTCTGGGGTCCCCCTTCTTATACTGATTGCATGGCTTCCATCAATTCTTTGTAGAACTGGGGCCATGATTTTGATTTCTTACTTAAAAAAAATCTTTAGTAATTTTGTGGAATTTTCTCCAACTAGTTTGGAACAAGGCAGAGTAAAGCCACCTCAGCTAGCAAGCCCATTAATACACTGGGTGCTAGTGACTGACTTCCATGAGTGGGTTGCAGTTTTAAGAGATGACATAGCAAACTGGTTTCTACTCCTTCAGTACACGGGATAGTCAGAGTAGGACGCTTTACAAGCCTCCAGGGATTTTCCTGTGGGGTTGGGATGACTTTCCTATTTTTTTTTTAATTGAGAAGATAGAAAAGCGTTCACAGTGGGAGGGGACCCGGGGGTTGTCCGACTTTGCTATCCTTAAAGAGACTCACAGAACATGTAAATGGCTGGGGAAGAGTCAGCAGTCACCAAAATACATTCCTCACTGGTCAAGAGGAGAATTATAGGGAGAGAAACAGGCGCAAGATTGTTTTCCACATTTCTCGAGGCCAAACAAAAATCAAGCTGGCCTGCTTCTCTAAGGCTAAAATCCAGGTCAGATGCTTTAGGAACTTCCTTAAGGAAAGGCCGTGGCATCCTTCCTTACAACCTTACTGTAATGACACTCCCCAGTGCTCCACAGCCATCCATACCTCCCCACTCAGAACAGCCTTCACGGGTTGTACTGTTTGTCGTCTGTTTCCCATCCCCTCCCTATCCCGTTAACCCTCACATCTCTCTACTTAGCAAAGGACCTGACCCATAGCTAGGCTCATTAAGTATAAGTGAAATGAATGGGTGCTGCGGATTTTTAAAAGGATAGCTCCATCTGGTGTGGATCAATCATCTAGGCTGCCAGAAGGGAGGGATGGGGCGCGTGCTAGGGTTATGGTTCTCAGATGGAATTGAATTTAGTGTCTCGCAAGCGTCTTACATTAAGCAAGGCTTGGGAGTCATTCTGTGTCGCGGGACCCAGATGGAAAAATCAAGTTGTGGCAGAGTCAGAAGTGGAGACCAACAGGCAGGAGAGAATGGAAAGGCAGGGGTGCGGGTGTGAGCTGAACTCGCAGCAGAGCAGACAAAGCCTGCGTCTGTAGCTACATGTGCTGTGGACGATGACACGTCGTCCTCTGGGCTTCATCCTGCTCATTAGATCTAACCCAAATCACTTGGTGGAGAAAACCCGACAGGACTGCAGTGTCACCCATCTGTCTGCCCCAACGTGTCTTCTTCCCCATATGTGGTTTTATTGGTCTGCTTTGTTTATGCTTTAGGAAAAGTGACAACTGGATGAGATGAACAGGACAGGGGCTGCTGTGTGTAAGTAAATGCTCCAGCTGTTGACTCAGTGCTCAACTGCCTGGTGAATTGGAAGTGGGTGAATCCACAGAGCCTCTGATGCCAGGGGACAGGGCGCCCTTGATCCCTGGGCACACTTGACTATTTGTGAAAAGCACATGGGCTTGCAGATAATGTGGGGTTCGGGGTGTTGGGTGGCCATAATTAAGGAAGGCTTCAGATAGCTTTCTCCAAAACAGAAGATCATGATTTATTTTTGCTCTCAGCAAGAGTGAACGGTTTACCTCCAATGACTGCGGAATCACTTCGAACTGCATTGGTGAGTGGCTCCCGTTCATCTGTCTTCCCAAAGGAATCTGAAAGGTACAAGAGGTAAGAGACTTCACTCCTTACTCAGATCATTGGCAAGATCAGCAGTGTGGAGATAAGATGACATATCTGTGTGTTGCACCAGGCACCCTTCAACATGTGTGAGCTGCCATGTTGCAAGCAACCCAAACGAACACATGCAAAGAAGCAGTTGAAGTGCACTGCTCACAGCCTGTAGTCCTGACCTGCCGGTTTATGTGCCAGCTGTAAGATACGGCATGGAACCAGAGGATGGTGGGATCCTACCCTCATCCTTCCCCTGAGCTCCTCTGCTGCATTGCTGGACAGTTCCTGAATGTGACACGCCTCTCTGCTTAAGAGTTTTCTTCAGGCGCAAGAGGATTTTGAGTTTATTTTCAGTGAAGGACAAAAGCACTGGAGAATTAACACCCCAGGAAGCAGCCCTCACCGATGAAAGTGGAACTAAACTGTACTCATATTACCATATGTGGTATTAAAAAAAAAAAAACGTCAAGTTTAAAGGCACACAGACCTGACTCTGAATCTTTGCTCTACTTTTTGTTGGTCCGGTGACATTGAGCAAGACTTATTTTTAAATATCCATTTGCACAGGTATTAACAGGGGGTAGTGTTGTCTAATATGTGTGTGTATAGTGCATGTTAAAATTTCAGGACCTGGTGGCTACTTCACATTTAATAAATAGCCACTATCACTATTGGTGTTGTATCATTTAATCCTTGGGAAATGAGTACAACCTGAGTATTATTTTTCCCCTTTGGCAGATAAGGAAACAAGATTGGAGCCCTTAAATAACTTGTCCAAAGTCTTACAGCTCATTCATGGTTGGGACAGGATTCAAACCAAGGCTATCCAACAAGCATACTTTCAATCTTTCTATCACACCCCACTGCGACTGGATAAACACCAAGACGGTTGATGTGCAAACAGCAGCAAACTCAAGCCCCTTTCTTTGCTCATAATTAGTAACCTATGTTGCTAATGAGAACGTGATACTATGTGACATCTATATGGTATCATTTACATTTTCTCATCTGTAAAATGGGAAAAGCATTAGTTTCTATCTCATAAGTTTTGTCAGAATTACTCAAGTTAATATATGTCTTTAGAACAGTGCTTGACACTATGTAATTGCTCCCTGGATCGTGTTTTTTGTAATCTTGCTTACTATTCAATATACATATATATATGTATGGTCTTTAGACCAAGGTTATCCGTCACATACCACAGCACTTGCCACACAGTCTTGTGTAGACACATAGACTGCACACATATGAGACTTTCGGTGTTGTTTACATAATTGAGTGAACACCGTGCGTGGGTTATGCTGTCTGTGGTGTACAAAAGCCATCTTCCTATCTTTTCCTAGGCCTCTTGAAACTGGAGTTGAAACAATTAACATGGGAGAGCAGCTGATAGGGTCAAGTGGGAAGAACACTGCAATTAAAGAAAGTGCTGGCTGTGGGGCAGGTATTCTGTACTGGTGGCAGTGACAAGGTGGGTCTGGTGGAAAGTATTTGGACATGGAAATTAATAATATAATGATTCACTTTTTAGGCTCAGATAGCATACATGCATGCATATGTGCCTCCATACAAAATAGACAGGCATATATGATACCAATTGACAAGGGGCTGGTGGTGGTGACGGTGTGTGAGAGTGACAGAGAGTAGGTAGGCAAAGCAAAGGTGGAAAATGATGAGTCAAAGGTGAGAGGAAAAGAAATGAGAAAGGACAAGAAGAACAGAAGAAGGCAGGGAGGAAGGCAGGGAGGGAGGAGAAGAAGGGAGACAGAACAGGAGGGAGGAAACCAAGACCATTTCGTTATTAGAGCTCCTATTCCTCACTGTCCTCAAAAGCTTGCGATTCTTCTATATTCCTATGCCAATCCATGTTCCTTAAATACCTCCTGCTTCTTTATAAATATAGTCACACTTTGCTTAATGGAATATATTCCAAGAAACGCGTCATTATGCGGTCTTATCATTGTCTGAACATTGTAGAGTGTACTCACACAAACCTAGAGGAGGGTGCCCACTTCCTACCTAGGTTGTACGGTGCAGCCTAGTGCTCCTAGCTACAAACCCGTTCAGCGTGTTACTGTGTTGAACACTGTAGGCAACTGTAACACAGTGGTACTTCACACGAATCCAACGTGCAGGAATGGAAGTTGCTAAGGGTGAGTCATTGAGTGAGTGATGCCCGAAGGTGAATGTGGTTATCTAGACTCGATAACCGCCGTACGCTTAGGCTACACTCCATTCATAAAACATATTTTTTCTTTCTTCAAGAGTAAATTAATCCTGGCTTACTTTAACTTGATACATTTAGAAAGTATGTTTCAATGTTTAACTGTTTTTGTAACACTTAATTTAAAATATAAACACATTGCACAGCCATAGAAAAATGTTTGATTCAATTGTATCCTTTTTCTATATTTTCTTATTGTTAATTTTTTTAGGGTTTAAACTCGTTTGAGAAAAAGTAAGCCGCAAACATACACATTAGCCAAGGCCTACGCAGGGACAGAATCATCAACGCCACTGTCTTCAGCCTCCGCATCTTGTTCCACTGGAAGGTCTTTGGTGCCAATGACCCACATGGAGCTGTTTCTGCTGGAACACCTTCTGAAGGACCGGTCTGAGGCTCTTCTTGAGGAGTGGGTTTATTTACATTAGTGTAACCACAAACAGTGAGTAATACATTGCACTAGGACCTCACGCCTGCTACGGCTTAATCAGACGATAGGAATTTTTCAGCTTCATTTTGACCTTCCAGGACTAATGCTATATTTGTGGTCCATTTTTGATTTAAACATCTTGAGGTGGTACATGACTGTATTCAGCTATTAATCACCCACCAGGGTGTAGATCGTGGCCTTTTTTCTTCCTCCAACTTATGCTGGTTTCTCCTTATTTGGGCTGTGTACTACTTTTAACATTATAAACCAATGTAGCCTTGATTTTATAACAGATTTCTCCATTACTAGCATGTTTGCTGATGAAACATTAATGCACGTTAACTCAGTTTATCAGTTCTGATGCTCCAATATTTATTAAAACTACAAATAGAAAACTTCAGCTTGAATAAGATGACAGCTTCTGTAACAAGACTCCAAAAAAAAAGTGCCTATACCATGCTTAACAATGATCTTCTGTAAAGTAACCCTTGGGGTAGTTATCTATTTCAATAGTTCATCTCTCTTCATACCATGTCAACCATCTTCAACAACTTTAGAGCCACCCTTAGTTTTAACCACCATCTTCAAAAAAGAATGACTCAGCTTTAATACATCTATCATCTATCCATCTAAATATATATTTTATATGCATAACATTTCATAAGAACTCCTCATTTTTGAACTAGGTTAGACTTTTACACCTGCACTTGGCAACTTACCCACGTGGGGTTTTCCCTGATTACTAAATTTGCTAAACCCACCAGAAATCTTCACTTCAACTTATATATTTCTTTTTGTAATGATCTGCCTTCTGGACACTGCAAACTCTTCCCCCTAGGCAACTGCCATGAGCAGAATCCTTATACGTCTACCTTTAGTTCACAAATATGAACATGATTATTTGCTTCTTCCTCTGGGTTTCATGCCACCCAAAACCCTGTTTGTACCTCTGCCATAGCCTTACTTACACCATATCTTGGTATAATATCAGGCATCCAGTTGCTACACACTAATTCCTGAACCATCATGTTCCATCATATTTTCCAATTCCTCAGATGGGGGACTTTGAGTATTTCTTGAATTTTGTATCACCACTAACCATGAAAGTTAACACTGAGTAGCTGCTTAAAAGATGTGTGGTGAATGAGGCAAAAGGGGAACCACAACAACCCTACACAAGAAAACTCAAAATGGTATTTTTGTTTTGTTTTGTTTGAGTTGGAATCTCACTCTGTCACCCAGACTGGAGGGCAGTGGCCGCTCCCGGCCACCACAGCCTCGGCCTGCTGGGATCTGGCGATCCTTCCGCCTCAGCCTTCCGAGTAGCCGGAATTACAGGTGTGCACTACCATGCCTGGATAATTTTTTGATTTATTGTAGAGACGAGGTCTCACCAAGTTGCCCAGGCGGGTCTCAAACCCGCGGGTTCAGGCACTCCACTCACCTCAGCCTCCCAAGGCCCGGGATGACAGGCTGAGCTGCTGAGCCCAGCTTCCAAATGGTATTTTTTAAAAGGAAAAACAAGCGGTAAAATATAAGGAAGTAAAGGGATCACTGGTGGATTTCTGGAAGAGCAGATGGATAGACCTATTTCAATATCCTATTCCAGTTACCAACGTTTCCAAACATTTATTTCTTAATTTTTAAAAAGTGTTGGCCTTGACACTAAGAATCCCAAGATAAAGGTCTTGGCTAAGAGTCTTGCTGTATAAAACAGTTTGTGTTTCTAAATACGTTTCGCAAGGCCTTATAATTCTTTTGACTTGTACAGTGAAAAAAGATGTCCTACCTTATATCTTTCTACCGATACAACAACTACCTATCACTGGTCAATGCTGGGAGAAGCGTGCCTTTGAGAGAACATCACCATGGCCCAAAGCTCTTGGGAACAATGGTCCTTTTAACACCTGCCCCTGTTGTTCCAGGTGGTAAGGGGAGGGTAGAACAATGCCATAGTCACTTGTGAGTTTTATAAAAAGTCTTAGGCCTCGCCTCCTCACCTCCACGACTTGAAAAGTTCATATATAGGCCGGGCTCGATGGCTCAGCCTGTAATCCCAGCATTTTGGGAGGCCGAAGTGAGTGGATTGCCTGAGTCCATGGGTTCGAGACTCGCCTGGGCAACTTGGCGAGACCTCATCTCTACAATAAAAATTAAAAAAAAATTAGCCAGGGGTGGTAGCACACGCCTATAATTCCAGATACTTGGAAGGCTGAGGCGGAAGGATCGCCAGAGCCCAGCAGGTCGAGGCTGCGGTGGCCGGGAGCGTGCCACTGCACTCCAGCCTGGGTGACAGAGTGAGACTCCAACTCAAAAAAAAAATAAAAAGAAAAGAAAAGCTCATATATATATATATATGTATATATGTATATATATATATATATCATTATCAGCAGTAAAATCTGAACAAAATATGCATCTTGTGCACTTAGAAAAAGCTTCCCAGAAAAATTTGATGATCACCCCTCACACATATACAAACCACTTTAAACCATAATCAGAATGCAGACTTTATTGTTATTACTGTTTCTGTCTATATTGCATGAATCTGTTGATATATATATTGATGTCTCAGTTTTAACCCTGTATATGAATCATTTTTTATTAACCTTCTGTATTTTATGGTGTGTTGACAACTTGGGGGCCTTGTTGACCAGAAAGAGATACCCCTCCCTGCAGGGGCTAATTCCTAGAAATAGCAACAACTTGCCTGTCAGTAGGCCTTTCCTAAACGAACCGGTCCATCCAGAACCCATGTCCCCAACCAATTCCTTTATTTCACTTGCACACACAGAGCTGATATTTTTCTGCTCTAAATCACTCAAGGCCAGGTGTTGGACAACTGGAAGCTACCTCTAGATCCCAGATCCTGCAAAAACTATTCACACGATCCAATTTGAACCTGCCACAGATTGCCTACCCTGCTTCACTCAGTTTTTCCCCATGGAAGCCACCATGAAGTTTGTGAGCCAGGCTTTTCCTCATTCCTCTATCTCCTGACCAAAGCTTCTACCTCCTCACATAGCTCTGAGTGGTATAATATAACCCCTTTGCTTAGAACTATGAGTAATAAACATCTCTTTCAAAGGCAATCATCTCCAAGCCTGTCACCTTATACCTGCTTAAACAGTCCCCAGAGACATTTCAAGACACCCAAAGTGATGGTGACTGGAAAAGACACTGTGGGGGATGGCGAAGCCAGAGAAGACATATGGACGAGGCTGCCGTGGGATTTCCCTTTTTTTTTTTGAGTTGGAGTCTCACTCTGTCGCCCAGATGAGTGCAGTGGCCGCTCCCGGCCACCGCAGCCTCGACCCGCTGGACTCTGGCGATCCTTCCGCCTCAGCCTTCCGAGTAGCCGGAATTACAGGCACGTGATACCAAGTCCAGCTGATTTTTTGATTTATTGTAGAGATGAGGTCTCGCCAAGTTGCCCGGGCGGGTCTCGAACTCGCGGGCTCAGGCCATCCACTCACCTCAGCCTCCCAAAGGCGCGGGATGACAGGCTGAGCCACCGAGCCCGGCAGGGGATTTCCTATTTTTAAGGCAGGCTGATTTCATTTCTTTTGATTATATGTCCAGAAGTGAGATGGCAGTTTTGATTTTTTGAGGAATATCTATACTGTTTTCCATAATGACTGTGCCAATCTGCATTCCCACCGAGAGTGTACAAGGGTTCCTTTTTCTGCACATCCTAGCCAACACTGGTTATTCTTGTCTTTTTGATAGCAGCCATCGTATTATGAGGTGTGGGTGATATCTCATTGTGCTTTTTTTGGCATTTTTCTGACAATTAGAGATATTAACACATTTTTGCATATTTCTCTGCCATTTGTATGTCGTTAAAAAAATCTGCTTAGGCCCTCTGTTGATTTGCAAATAGGGTTATTTTTATTTTTATTATTATTTTGCTATTGAGTTGTATGAGTTTCTTATATGTTTTAGATATCAATGCCTTATCAGATATATGGTTGCAAATATTTTCTCCCAAATTATAGGTTGTTCTTTCAATTTTTTGTTTGTTTATTTATTTGCTGTGCAGAAGCTTTTTAGTTTGATGTAGTCCCAATTGCTTATTTTTGCTTTTGCTGCCCATAATTTTGGTGCTAAAAACAAAACAAAACAAAAAACTTGTTAAAACTGGTATCAAGGAGTTTTTTTTTAACCTATGTTTCTTTCTAAAATGTTGCAGTTTCAAGCATTACATTTAAGGCTTCAAACCATTTAGAGCTTTTTTTTTGGTATAGTATAAAACAAAGATCTAATTTCTTTTTTTTGTAAGAAAGGTGAAAGATATACAGTTTTCTCAGCACAATTTATTAATAAAGAATTCTTTCCCTATTATATATTCTTGGAAACTTTGCCAAGGAATAGTTGACCATATATATGCCTGGACTCTCTATTTTATTGAGTTGGTATATGTGTCTGTTTTTATGCCAGTACCATGGTCTTTTGAATACTATAGTTTTACAACAGTTTGAAATCAGAGTATGATGTTCCCAACTTTTCTTCACTCATGTGTTCACTGCAGCATTGTTCATAATAATAGCCAAGATATGGAAACCACCTAAGTGTCTGTCAAAGGTTGAATAGATACAGAATATATATCTATATATATATTATATAACCATAAGTATACACACATACACACAATGAAATATTATTCAGCGTTAGACAAAGAGATTGGCTGGTACAATGGTTCATACCTGTAATCTCAGCACTTTGGGAGGCTAAGGTGGGAGGATTGCTTGAGACCAGCCTGAGCAACATAGCTTGACCTCAACCCTACAGAAAAATCTAAAAAGTAGCTGGGCATGGTGGTGTGTGTCTATAGTCCCAGCTACTCGGGAGGCTGAGGCAGGAGGATCGTCTGAGCCCAGGAGTTTGAGTCTGCAGTGAGCAGTGATCATGCCTCTGCATTTCAGCCCAGGTGACAGAGTGAGACCCCACCTCAAACAGTTTTAAGAAGTTAAAAAAAAAGAGATGATGTCATTTGTGACCATGTGAAGGAACCTAAGGACATCATACCAAGTGAACTAAACCAGACACGGTCATCTCACGTCTATGTGGAATCTGAAAGGTCACACGTACAGAAGCAGAAAGTAGAACACTGGTGGCCAGAAGCTGGCGTGTGGGGGGAATGGGAGATGTTGATGAAAGGGTACGAACTTTCAGTTAGAAGATGATTAAGCTTCTGGAGATGTCATGTGCAGCTCGGTGGCTACCGATAATCATACGGCATTGTTTGCTTGACATTTTCTAAGACAGTCAAACTAAAGTACCCTCACCAAACACACACATAGACACACACACACACACACACACACACACACACACACACACACACGGTGACTATGTATAACAATGAATGTGTTGATTAATTTAATTGTGATAATCATTATAGATTGCATATGTTGACCGAATCATCGCATCATATACCTTGAATATATGTAATTTGTATTGGTCACTTACTCCTCAATAAAACCGGGGAAAACAAGGCTGATTTTAATCAAACAAATTGCAATATTCGTTCAGCAACCAACCTGCTGCCTTCCTGCCCGCTAAACACTTTAATTCTCAGCGCAGTAGCCACTTCATCAGGAGTGACTACGTACACACACACACACACACACACACACACACACATGCACACACACACACTGCATTAATGCGTTATCGTATATGCCTGTAATGTGCAACATACGCAATTATGCATTTATTTCTAGTTACTCATCATATTAAAAGCGGGATTATGTCAAATAGATAGATAAATCACCCATGAGAAATCAGGAACAATTTTTAAGCACCTGTAAGTTACACGGTAAAGAGCGGAGTGATATTAGCCAATCCTTTGGCCTGGAAGCTTCTTGAAGATAACTAAAGTAGCGCTAGTGGGGGAAGTTCCACCAGGCGTTCTGCCGCGTGTACCTGAGGACGAGTGCACCGTGGTCACCGCATTCAGGTCTGAGTCCACCATGGAGCCACAGCTGGATTCCGTCAAGGTCCCGTGGACCGTCACAGGCGCGACAGACGCATGGCGCAGGGCGGCCTTCAGAGGGGCTATGTGGTTGTACTGAACGGAAGACAGGCACCCAACAAAGCCCAGTGTGTTCGCCTTAGTGACTTCAGAATCCAAGCCAAGATTCTCTGCAATGCAAAAGACAACCAGAAGTCTTTTATTTCTCTTCAAGTCAACCGTGCTGCATGTCCTCTTTGGGCAAGCTCTAAAATTATAGAAATCGACTTGTCCTTCTTGGAATAAGGCACATCCTCCTCTACCCCTTTCGCTCTCTCCAACTTCACCCGTGCTCCAAGTATCAACATATCAACCACATTTGACAGAAATCACTAGGGCCAACTCTGCCTTGAGATAAAAAAAAAGTTCCACACTTCTAAATTTCACTCACATACTTTATGAGCTGTCACAAAGACAATAAATCTGTTTTGTGCTAGGGGTTTTATAGAATGTGTATCATTACCCCCACCACCATTTATCTATGGGTGCTGATAATCGGTGCAGGTATATTACAATGCTCATGACAACATTTCACTCAAAAATATAGCAAGAGAAAAATGAAGAGGCAAACGGAGAGATCAGGGGTCAAAGTTGTCCTCCCAGGGATTTCTCACGCTCATTGTTTTCATCCACCTGTATAGACTGACCTTCTACATAAGATCTCTACCTGCATGGTGATCAGTGTGTGCATTGGCTTTTCGTGACAACATTCAACTTCCCAAAGTATCATGGAGACTTGATGAAAGGTGAAGATACAGTCATTTGGGATACACAGCAAAATCAAATGTCTTATTTTCTTTAGGATTTTTAGTAAGTTTACTCAGTATACAATTTCTGTCTCTTAAAAGGGGTAATTTGAACAAACTACTATGATGCAATTACATAAAAGCACAATGCATAATGAGTCATTTTTTTCTAAACGTGTAAGAGTTTTAAAGTACCTAGGTGGTTCAAATGGTTATTTATTGTGATAGTTTGATTATTTTCTAACAGTAGACAGGGACCTTTCCATCTGCCAGTTTAGGTTGTAGTTTTATTCTAATTCATAAATGATCAAAGAGAGATTCCACTGATCTCTTCTCACGTATTATGTTGACAGCATTAAGCAAAAGGTGTGGTAGAATTCTAGTAAGAGAAAATGAGAAACTGACCTCTCTTAGTAACGTCCTTTCTAATTTTTGCCCTCACTTTACTCTCCCTCTTTAACAGCCCTGTTAACTTGACCAATTTATCATGTTTCTCATCTTATACAAAAAAGAAAAAAACCATGTGTATTAATTGTATGTCTGCTGTGACAAATCACCACAAACTTACCTTAAATTAAAGACCTTAAAATACAAATTCTTTATCTTACAATTCTATGGAGTCAAAGTCTGACATGGCTCTCAGTGAGCTAAAAGTCAAGGTGGCAGGAAAGGTACATTTCTTCTAGAGCCTCTGGGAGATACCACATTTATTTGCTTTCTTCTAGCTCCTAGAAGCCACCCACTTTCCATGGTTTATAGCCCCTTCTCCACCTTCAAAGCAAACAAGGATTGCATTTCTCCATGCCTTTCTTGTGTAGTCACTTCAACCTACAGTTCTCTTCTTCTGTCTCCTTCTTTCACCTTGTGTTTGTAATTACTGATAATCCAGGATAATCTCGCCATTATAAATGTAGCTGAATGACGTGAATTCCATTTGCAACCTTAATTCTTCTTTGACATAATCAAGGGGACTGGGGATTAGAAGTGGACATTTTTGGTGGGCCGTTATTCTGCCTTTGACTTCAGGTCTGAGACTCTGTGAGAATTTTCCACGTAATAATAGTAAGAATCCAAAAGCAATGTGAAATACCACTCTTCCTCAAGTATAAAAGAACACGGAGAAAGTTATCATCTTTTAAGTATTGCAATAAATATCCTACAATGAGGATGATACATATTTGTTACTTACATAAGAACGGATCACATATGTTTGTGAGTTATTATGAGTTTTAAAAGACTGTAGTCCATATGAGGCTTCTTGCACACGGTTATGCAAGGGACTTTTAGATCAAAAAACTTTTTTACACTGGATGCTATTTTCCTGGTGGTACAGAACTCAGTGTTCCTGGCTATAATTCAGAATACACGGTGGTTACTGATTGGTAGTTCGCAAGGGGTAGAGAGATCAGAAGTATTTAGAGGAAGAGGCAGAAGACAAGGGAAGAGGAACATAAATTGTCATGAAGTTTTTGCATTGCAGGATTTCAAAAGCGTGGAAAGTGACATGTCATTGTAGCTATGCCTGAGGGTTCTAAGTCAAAATTGCCGAATCTCATTCCTGAAACTCAGCTGGAAAGAAGCCTCCTTCGGTGTCAAGGTCCTTGAAGGGCATCACTATAGTGACTGTCAGGAATACAAGCTCCAGGTACAAGAATAGGCACAGAGATACACCGAGGGAAATGCTAGAAAATGACATTCTCTCCTTAAAGGAAAAAATGTTTCAAGTAAAGCCTTATCTCTGGAGAAGTGTGTTTATTCTAGATGTACAATAAGGATGGGGACCTTGAGGTATTTCTGGAAAAAAAAAAAAAAAAGATGAGAACAAGAATGCCTGACATGAGAAAATACTCTCAGTAAACGCCCAAGACAATGACTTCCCAGATTTGTACATAGATGAGAAAGCAGATAACAAAAAGAAGAACAGAGTGTTAGAATGATTCCAAATGATTTTTGCTGTTTATAATGGTGTTAACTAATATGTGGTAGGGAACAATTATTGACTAAGAACAATGTTTTAAAAAGCTGCAAAAGAAAAATCTCAACATTTATCACTCATTTAGTAGCTACTATGCAATACTATAATCATTGCTGTTAAAGTGTTATTTTTTTTGGCCTCCAAAGTTTTTTTTTTTAGGTATATGTTATCATCCTTCAAAGTTTGCAGGTGAAGCAACTGGGACTCAGAAAGTTAAGAGATGTGAGATCATGTTGCGGGTTGAGATTTAAACCCAAGTTTTTGTTACTTTAAATGCCAAACTATTTATCTGAGCAATGCCGCCTCCCAAAACACTCCAAAAATATCTCTCATATAGAGTAAAATAATTTTACATAAATTATCGAAAAAGAAATAGGCTGCGAAAACGAAGGAAAGCACATGTTATTTTGGTTGAATACTTCACAGAATTCACTAAACTCTGTATTATGTTAAAGACAAAATGTATTTCCTAATTCATTTTGCCCAGGTTTTAGATGACAGCTGCATTAGATTCATATGGAATTGAGTGGGGAAACTATTCTACGTGCTGAGCTAGTGAATGAATATCAAAGAAAAATACATTTTGAATGTGGCCTCTCAAAAAATGATTGGACAGGAATGCAAGCAAAGGCCCCACTGCTGAAAACCACCAGTGTTCTATTTCTCGCTTTCCCCAAGATTTTCTGCTCACCTATAATATCCCATCTAAACAAAAGAGAATTAGAAGGATCTTCTTCAAAACCCATGCCACCACCTTTAGAAACCACAGGTATCTTACAAAGGAAAAATTGGGAGCGTGTCCAGACGTCGTGTGTGAAATTGACTTATTTTCTGCCTCTCAATGTACTTTAAATATCGTCAAAATACAGTTCCTGATTCTTTTGTAATTCTAGCCATCTTCCCCTCAAATAGTAGTGTAGAAGTAGCATGGGCTGCTGATGAGGTAGAGTTTGGAAGTTAGAGAGACCTGAGCTGATGAACTATGGCCTTGGACACATTAACATCTTTTTCCATTTCTGAACTTCAGTTTCATTCACAAGAAAACAGTGGCAGTAGTATCTGCCACATGAATCGCGGTGGAAATAAATATAATATTATAATTCATAGTTCAGTGGCCATAAGTGCATTTTTGGTGCTCTTTACTTATTTGTTTATTTTTGTATATATGTATGTTGTACAATATATTCCAATGTATGTACATATTGTGGAATGGCTGTAAAGTTACTTAATATATGCATTACTCCCATACTTATCATTTTTGATGTGGTAAGAACACTTAAAATCTACTCTCAGCAATTTTCAAATATACAATAGGTTGTTATTAACTATGGCCACATTGTGCCCAATAGATTTCTTGAATGTATTCATCCCGTCTAATTGAAATTTTTGCCCTTTGACTAGCATCTCCACATATAAATAAATAACTGCATTTTGTTAGTAGCAGCTGTAGCAGTAGTATGTTTTCTCCTCCCACTATTCATCAGTTCCAAATATTTTTGCCCAAATTTAATGACCCTCAACATGCCAAGTGCTATTGCAATCAGAACAAAGATGTAAATGCTGACATACTTGCTGGGAAATCTTTCTACTAAGTTTCTACTTCCTACTGACTCAGAACTGAATAAATGTAGAATTCAGACCTTGAGTGACTTAGTTTATTAATTTATGACAGGCTATCTTTTTCAGGCATTTAAAACTTGACTTTCCACATCAATTTGCAAACACCCTTATTTCTTCAAAGTAAAGCTGTGCTTCTCTATTAGACCTGGTAGATCTGTGATGTCAAAAAAAGCAGCACAGAATCAATTTTAACCCCAGAATGTATAACACTTCACACAACTGACAGGAAGAGAATGATTGAACGAATCCAGGCTAATTTTATGCAGGCAGGTTTCTGTGGGGTTTTTAATGCATAAAAAAGGAGGAAAAGATCAGCAATTTGCTAAAAACAGATAATGCTCTAGGATGTAAAACGACATTTGCTATATGTCAGAAGTCACTTATGACATTTGAATCTTGAAGTGTCATAATATAAGCCTTACAGACACAAAATACCGGGGCATATAAATAGTAGAACGTTGTATCAAGGTAAAATATAAATAAAGGGATTCTGTGTTAATGGAATGTAAGAGAAGTATATACAAGTAAAGGGTTTAAATTCTAGACTATTGTGGCTTTCAGGGATGGAACAAACAGTCTGAAAACTTAATCATCAGGACTGTCCAAAGTCCAGGAACACTGTCTTTTAAATAAATCTTTTTATACTGAAACTGGAATGTCCAACTAAATTAAACACACACACACAAACTCGACATTTGCTTAATACTTTTATGCTTTTCTGGGTATGCTCATTTGTAAGTCCTATGTATTTCACCCTTTGATGTGAGAAAAGATGAGATAATTATCCCCA